AGGGAAGGGGCGTTCCTGCTACAGGTTTCTTCTAATTTACTTTATGCTGCAAAGGATTCATGATGGGTTATGACCAAAACTCATTCAATAAGATAATACGCAATCGAAATGGAAAATCAGGATCAGAGAAAACAGACTGAAAAATGTGGACAAGGAAAAGGCTGAACATAAAGACCAGGAAAGTGTCCATAAATGAGTGTCTGATTTGGCTGTCAGTTTCCTGGCAGCCAAAGGAAAAAGGGATCTGGGCCAATTCCTAGGATTCCTGGTATCAAAATAGGAACGTTGTGGTAAATCTAAAACGAAATTAATCAAATGGAAATTTCTCCTCTAAAAGACCAAGCAATGTAATAGATGACATAATAGTAATAATAATGTCACATGGTATCGCCTTTAGGAGTGACAGCCATACTTTTACTATCTTGTCCCTTGCCTGAAATTGTTCTATTTGATTTTACATGATTGTCCTCAAGCAACTAAACTCTACTATTTCTTCTTTGTTGAAGTCACAGATACTAATGCCCTTGTGAAAACCCGGGATACAAGTTAACTAGTTATCTATATACCAGGTTGTGTGCTGGGTGCTGGGCCTGGAAAGTAGTAAGAAGATTGTTGCCCACCCCCCAGGTCCTCTCCATCCCAGGCGTGGAGATGCCCAGACAAGGCCTGCACATAATGCAGGTGCCGGGGAAGGAAGTAGGAAGGGCTTCATGGAGGAGGAGGTAGGCCAGAGATGGAGAGCAGTAGTGAGGAGGGGCCCAGTCTTGGGAGACAGGGTATCAGCCGCTGGTCCCTCGGGGGTGGGGACCAAGGCTTGACGTGCATCAAGGACCCCATGGACTCCCATTGAGTGGTCGACCCCTGCGGGGCTGGGTAAGAGTCGGGGTGATGACCACACACCTGAGGGGCATATGGAGGATGGACCTGGAGAGGGAGGAGTTCAGAGTTCTTTCGGTGGTGGGGATCAATGGAAGGTTTTTGAGCCTTGCAGTGTATAAGTAATGATGGAATGAAGAAGAACAGCTAACACCTGGGGAGCACATGCTGTGTGTCGAGCACTGCTCTAAGCACTTCTTCTGTATTAACTCCCTTAAGGATGACAACAGTCCTGGGTCTGAGCCTCAGTGGCTCAGTCGTTAAGCGTCTGCCTTCGGCTCAGGTCATGATCCCAGGGTCCTGGGATCAAGCCCCGCATCGGGCTCCCTGCTCGGTGGGAAGCCTGCTTCTCCCTCTCCCACTCCCCCTGCTTGTGTTCCCTCTCTCGGTGTGTCTCTCTCTGTCAAATAAATAAATAAAATCTTTAAAAAAAAAAAAAGGATGACAACAGTCCTGCGAGGGCGGTACAGTGATTATCATCCCCATTTTCCAGATGAGACAGCTGAGGCACAGGGAGGATGCAGACCTCACTTGCGCAAGGTCACACAGCTGGGAAGTGGCCCCGTGGGCATCTGAACTGAGGCTCGGATCTAGAGCTTCTACCCACTCTGTTGTTGTGCCTATTGAATAACAGTATCGGACTGACACATAACGTGAGTGCGTGTGAGATGACCTATAAGGACTTCACGGGTCCCAGCCAACCATGAGCCCCTAAGGCAGGAACTGACAGAGCAGAGGCTCAGAAAGAACGTGAAAACAGCTTGGAGGGTGTAGCCAAGGAGTCGCAGGCCTGTGAACTTCACTCGGGACTGCTCTTCTTGCCTGACACACTCCAAGGTTCCTTGAAGAACCCCCGCCTTGGGCAAACCGATGGCGAGAACCATCTGAGTGATTAACGCCAGTCGCCGCAAATAGGATCACACCGGGTGTCACTGGGCCAGAGAGCCTTTGTTGTCAGAAACATGTGAACGTTTCTAATATTTCTCACTTCTGTTCACCCCAGGCCGTTGATTTCCACAGGGTGGGGTTTCCAGAGCGGGGCACCGTCACAGGCCCTCTGGTTCATACTTCCTTCTCTGTGCAGTGGGAGGCCTGGGGCGGGGGGCCGAGCTGTGGTTCCCACTTTTCCGAGCTCGGTCTCCACCTTCGCGGGAGCATCAGCCTCTGAGGGGTCCAGGGGAGGAACAAGCAGATCAGGGCAGACTCCCCACAAAGCAGCTGTGTTCTCCTTTCCCTGAAGCCCGCACTGCAGACAAGGCGATGGGAACGAGCGTGGGCTGCCCAGCCAGCTCGGTGCCTGGACTCCGTGAGGGCCCCGCCTGAGGAAGCAGCTCCCCCTTCCCCAAAGAGCACAGGACTAAGAGTGCGGGACCCCGGTTCGGGGCCCAACTCTGCCACATCCTAGCCATGTGGCTGGGGTACTCGGAGGGAGCAGCATGGGGTCAGGCGGGCAAGCATTCACCTCCTGGGCCACTCACTCTCCAGCCAGGTGACCTGGGTGGGGAGGGAGGGGCGCTGTCGAGTCCTGCCTCCTCCCTCATCCTCAGTCTTCTCATCGGGAGCCCGGCAGAACGTCTTGGGATCAGGAGAGCTACATTTTGTCAGGCAGCACAGAGCAGGTTTCCTGTCTGCCCAACACCTCCCTCCCACTTCTCCTGTAACATGGAAGTGATGAGGCTGAGGCCCCAGGTGGGTATGGGGACCCAACAAGACAGGGAATGGAAGGCCCCTTCCAGCTCTGGGTGGGTGCAGATAGAGGGCCGCCATCGTTGTTGGAGTGGCACTCACTCACAGACTGGGGCCTCTGCGCTCCTCACCGAGCCAGCCAAGCCGCTTCCGCGACTCAGGTGGGTTCCGTTCACTGCAGAGCCCGAGGCAGGCGCTTTAGGAGGGCCACCTCGTCTTTTGTGCCCTGAAAAATAAACAGCTCTCCGTCTGAGCGGATTTCTGCTTGGGAGGTATGTGAGCTTCCTTCATCGTCTATCCACAAACAGGCTGCAGTGGGACGGACGGCCCCCGTGGCCTGGCCTTGGCCCCCGGGATGGGCTTCCAGCCTCCCTCCCTTGCCTCCCGCCTTTGCTCCAACACGCATGGAGGCTCCAGCTGCAGACTTGGCCCTGTGGGAGACAGGGCCTGAGGAGCCCTGGCCCCTGCCTTCAGGGTCCTCCCATTTAGAGTGCTATGTGCTTCAACAGAAGGAAGCATGGGGTGGGGGCCTGGGTGGGAGGGGACACTGAGCCGGGGACAAGAAGCCTCCTTGTCTGGAGGGTGATGAGGAGAGCTTCATAGAAGGGGTGATCTCTGAAATGAGATAGAAGGAGGAGGAGCCACTGCCTCTGTACCCAGGCAAGTTACCTGCCTGAGCCTCAGTTTCAGGCTCTGTAAAAGGGGCCAATAATACTCAGAGGGAAGGGCGAGAGGCTTAAATGGGAGGATGGATGTGATAGAACTGACAAATGCCTCATACCCCTAGGTGTCTCTGAAACAATAGCTGCTGTGCAGGCTGGGAAGCTGTGTGGTGAATTGAACTTCTTTTTCAAGGGTCTTTTCCTCGGGCGGTTGACACCTGTTACTTAGTATAAGCAAGTGTCCTGGTTTCAGAAAAAGTCCAGCCGTAACTCAGCATGAAGTGAAGAAGCCTTCTGTCCCTCTGTCTCCAGTGGGTAATGGGAAGTCCCCTACCCGCTGGGAGTGAGGCAGGAGTCTCCAGAATTAAAATTCTCCCCAAGTACCCCACCTCCCCCAGTCCTGTGCCTGTTCGATATGTTTCCTTTGTCCTTGGACATTGCAAAATTAGATTGTCAAGGACTTAAGGGCACTGCCCCAGAGTAATTTTCACGTCCCCTCCTCTTGTTCCACCATTGATTTGAACTATTGAGCACCGATAGTATGCGAGGTGATGGGGATTCTCTGTGCCAAACAAGGTCCTAGCTCTGATAAAGTTCATAATGCTTGCGGGGTGGGAGGGGTGGGATCAAGGTAAAATAAAAGAATAACAACAGACTGCAGTAAATACCATAAAGGGGAAAAATGGGGTGTGTAACAGTATTTGAGGGGCTCCTTAGAGTGGTCAGGACAGTGGAGGAGGTGATGATTTAAGCTGAGGTCTGAAGCCAGAACTGGCCATGGGAGGAGTAGAGATGAGGAAAGAATGTTCCAGATAGAGGGGATAGCAGCTGTAAAGATCTTGAGGGAGGGGAGAAACTTGAGAATCTGAGGAACTGAGTGAAGGCCAAAGAAGTTGGGACCTGAGTGAGCGAGGTGGAGAGCAGCACAAGATGAGGGTAGGCAGGGGCCGTGGGCAAACTGGTAAAGGGCTGAGAGGGCCAGAGTAGAAGCAGGAGGCCTCCAGGAGCTGTCGCTGTGACCCCAGGCAGTCACCCCACCCCTCTGAGCCAGTTCCTGCACACACGTGTGTGGCTGTGGGAACCAAATATGGGAATGAACAGACGTGCACTGTGGGAAACTGAAAAATGTATAAATGAGGGGGATTCCAGGTCTCACTGGAAGTGGAGGGTCCTTCGGGAAACTTCTGGGTTAGACTTCTCCGAGGTGGGAGGCAGAGTGCTGGGTACCTAGAGTTCCTACCTGAGCGCCTGCTTGAGACTCTTGCCTCCTGAGACTGAAGGTGGAGGGATGGGTCACCTTCCTGGTTCTTGACTAGCCCTAAGCCTCTGGAATTTTCTGAAATTCTCTGGCTTAAAATCCCTGAGCTAGAGGAAGGGGGAAATGCGAGGGGAGACACCTGCCTTTTTTATTCCACCTCTCCCCCCCCCCAATCTTTCTCGCTCTGATGGGGAGGCTTACTTGAGGCACCTAAGGGCCACTGGTGGGTGGAACCTTTCTCTTGACAGTTGTGGTCCAAATTAGGGGCATCTTCCTAACCCTCGACTCCTGCTATCTGCCAACCCCCTAACTGAAGGGAGACGTGGGGCTTCCCAGGAGGAGGTGCTGCTGCGAGACCCCCTCCCTCCGGCTAGGGGCTGGCCGGGGGGGACCTCCACCTACCCCGGGTCGGGTCGCCCCCGTGGGGCCATGGAGGGAACCGGCAACCGCGCGCCGGTCAGGCCCCGCCCGCGAAGGTGGCGCGTTGTCCGGCCCTTCCCGGCCAGCCTGTCGCGCGGCGGTACGCGGTGGCGGTGGGGACCAGGCGTCGCGGGGCGCAGCATGCGGAGCTGGTGGCCGCCGCGCTGCGGGCGCTGGGGGTGAGGCGTCGCGTTGCATAAGCGGGATGGGGGGGGGGGGGGAAGGGGAGGGGGCGGAGGAAGGCGGGACCCCCCCTCCCCTGCCGCGGGCCGGTCCGTGGGCCGGTCTCGGTGTCCCGGGCGGGGCGGGGCGCGCAGCGGCGCCGGGGCCGCTTCCCCATTCTCCCCATTCGCCTGAGAGCCATGGAGGCGCTGAGGGAGTCCGTGCTCCACTTGGCTTTGCAGATGTCGACCTACAAGCGGGCCACGCTGGACGAGGAGGACCTGGTGGACTCGCTGTCTGAGGGTGAAGTGTACCCAAACGGCCTGCAGGTAGGAGCCCTGGCCGGCTGCGAGCCCCCAGGCAGCCGGGCATGCGCGCTGCTCCTCCCCCGCCCCCACCCTGCCAGCCCGAGAGGGGGCCGTGCCAGGCTGGCACAGCTCAGGGCAGCTCTGGGCTCCGTGAGGGAAGATGCCTTTCCGGGGCAGAAGTGCCTCCAAGGCACTGGGCTCCTTCCACCCGGGTCCCCTCCCCAGCTCTGACTGTCCCCCAGTCCTCGTGCCACCTGCCAGTGGAACTACAGCCCCTTGGCAGAGTTGAAGCACCCTGTAGAACTGAACTGGACCAGTTACCTTCCACAGGAAAGGCAGTCCCTGGGTGCTGAGGGACTTGCCCAGGGTCACACAGTCCAGTGACGGCAGAGTTTAAAACTGTCCCAGTTTTAATGTGGAAAGCGCTGTGTCCCTGGAAACCTCTCAGTGCTGGGCAAACCAGGCTGGTTGGTCACCCTATCTGGTAGGCATGGCCCCCTTCTTCCCCTTTCCCCCAATACCTGAATTTTCTGCAGGGAGGAACCCATCTCCTGCCCCCTCTTTCCCTGCCCCCTTGCAGCCTACTCCTGAAACCCAATTCCTCCTCTCCCCAGGGTCTGTCCCTGTGGGACTCAAACATGCCCACCACCTTCCTACCTTGTGGCAGAGCAGTGAGCATGGCTGCTTCCTGCTCTTCCCTCCCTGCAAGGCTGAGCTGGGACAGTGTTGAACAGGACCTCAGCCCTGTGGTGGGGTTTGGACCCAGGCAGGTGAGCGGGAGCGAGTCAGAAGTGTCAAGGACACTCAGGGGGGCCCTTGCTCTAGCTCCTGAGAAACCAGCCCGGGGAGAGGAGCAGGGCATCTCAGTTCTGGAGAACTTCTGCCAGGTTGACCAAGGGAGGCATTGGGGAACATGTTGGGGCCACCCAGTGAACTGACACCAAATCACAGTTCATCCAGAGAGCAAGCTTAGGGTGCTTGGAAATGCAGTCTGCCGGGCCCAGTCCTACTCAGGCATACCTCTTAGAAGCTGGAATAATAATACCAGTAAAGGAAAACAGCACTGATGGAGTCCTTCCTCCAGGCTAGGTAAGTAGCCCAGGGAGATCCGAACTCGACTCCAAGTGGTCTGCCCACTGGGATATGGCACCCTTACCTATATCTTCCCACTTAACTTTCAGGACCACCCCTATGAGCTGTAGGGATTACTGTTCCCACTTACAGATAAGGAAACAGGGCCTGAATGGAGATACAACTCACCTTAGGTCTCAGAGCTAGAAATCTGAGAGTGAGATCAGCACAGTCTGTCTAGAACCTCTTCCCTGGGACCCTTCTTGAGAGGCTAAATCCAGCAGGAAATTAGATTTCTGTGGCAGGCACTTTTCCCTTCACAAATCAAAACAGAATCTAATCAGCAATCTTTTCGGTGTCATCTTGCACAGAAGGTTCTAAATATATCAGCACAAAAGTGTTTCAGAATTCACAACAAAATAATAGGCCATGTTGTCATCACCATAACATAACAGTAGCCCACATGGGGATAGCCTTTTTCAGGTCACAAAATGTGTTCATCTGCCTCCGGGGCTGCCTGGCAGAGTGGAAGCAGCCCAGTCTCCTAAGCTGGGGTCCCCAGTGTGAATTCTGACTCCGCCGATGGTCTTGGGTGCTTAACCACTGAAAGCACAATTCCCTCGTCTGTAAAATGGGATTTAGAGAAAGTAAATGTAACGCCTCTTATGGGGCCTGCTAGGATTATTGTTGTTTTTATGACCTGTGAGGTCAGGGCCCCGTGGCTATGTTACAGATGATGAAGCTGAGTCTCAGGTTGGGGACACTCCTGGGGTTACAGAGCTATCATGTGTTTTGGAGTGCAGTGTTGCTGTCCCTACACCGATCTGCCAAACTGGGTGCATTGCCTACTTTTTATACAGGCAAAGCCAAAAAGGTTGCCCCAAGGAGTTGGGGCATTTCCGTGGGTACCCAATCCGGCTTCCCTTGAGCTACCATGACTTCTCCAAAGCAAGTATGAACGAGCCAATGCTTGAATCGAGAACTTGTTCACCTCAACTTATGAAGCTGAGTTTTCTACTAATTTTGTTTTTAATCATTGGAGTTTTTTCCTCCCAATATAAAGACTTTACATGCTTATTTCTGAAAAAAAAAAAAAAAGTCAAATACTCAAAAAAAAAAAAAAGATTTAAAAAGAAACAGTAATCCCAGCACTTGGAGATAACCCCTTCTGGTTTTCCACATTTGCACACGTATATTTATAAACATAATTGAGCTCACTCTAAGTACACGATGTTGTGCTGTGCTTGTTTCATTTAATGCCCCTTCATGAGCATTTTTCCTGTTGTTTAAAAACTCCCAAAACATGCTGTCATTAAAAATTATAATGCCTCAGGGCGCCTGGCTGGCTCAGTCAGTAGAACATGTGACTTCTGATCTTGGAGTCGTGAGTTTGAGCACCATGTTGGGCGTAGAGGTTACCTAAATAAATAAATACATAGATACATAAATAAACGTAAAAAAAATTAGTGCCTCACGGTACGAGTATATAATAGTGTATGTACTCAATATGCTAAGTTTGGACAACAGGCCCAGTAACTAGCATTGTAGGTGACCATCCCTTAGCCCTTCGGATAATTTCCTATGAGCTGATGCTGGAAACACAACTGCTCCTTTAAATTTAAGATTTTTAAAATGTCCCCCATCCCCTCCTCCCAGATCTCCCTCTTTGATGGGCAACTATAAAAATAAGCTACTTGATTTTTCATGATTTTGAAGCCCATTGGTTTTTTAGTGTATTTTTTAAAGATTTTATTTATTTATTTGTGAGACGGAGAGAGAGAGAGCACAAGCACGGGGAGTGGAAGAGGGAGAGGGAGAAGCAGATTCCCTGCTGAACAAGGAGCCTGATGCGGGACTCGATCCCAGGACCCCAGGATCATGACCTGAGCCGAAGGCAGACGCTTAACTGACTGAGCCCCCCAGGCGTCCTGGGGTTAATATTATTAATCGACAGTTGTTACAAAGATTGAAATGAGGCTGTGTAAGTGAAAGCCTTGTGCATAGTGCACAGAAAATGGATTTGGTTGCTGTTGGGATTGTTACCATGACTCACCAGGCAGGAGGTCTCAGTGATGCCCTAAATATAACCACCTTGCTCTTGGGAGCCTCTGCTCTGCTCAGACCGGCTGCCTGTCCCTCACCCCCCACCCCAGCACATACCATTTTGGTGGCTCAAAGGGAATCAGCTAAAGTGATACCCGCAGCCTAAGCTGGGGAGCAGGCGGCCATGACTGCTACCAAAGCCTTTGAAACTCATCCTTTTGCTTGTAAAAATCAATTTCTTCAAGAGAAGGGAAAGCTGAGATATTTCATTCTTAGTGGTGATTTTTCTCATCCCCCCACCCCATGCCACACACAGGGCTGTCCTTCAAGGGTGATTTCAGGGACAAGCCCACTTAGTACTTTAAAAAGACCTCTGTGCTCACCAGGATTCTACCTGTTTGAGCCTTATACTCCTGGCTTTCTAGTTCTTCTAGAATCTGAGATGGTCAGACCTGGGATGGTTATCTAGCTTCCTCATTTTAAAGATGGGAGATTGAGGCCCAGAGGCGGCCCAGCGACACACACAGACACACACACACGCACACACATGGGGTCTTGAAAGGTCAAGGCTGACCTTTAACCTCCCTTTTCCCATGTCATGGGCAGCTGGGTGTTCCTTCTGGGAAACAAAGAGAGCTGGAAAGTGCTTCTTCTAAATACTAGACTTTGGTTCCTGTGTCGATGGCAGGAGTCCCTCCCCCATAGCGGGCACTCGTGTAAGCTGTTACGGGTCATTGGAAGAGAGTCAGGCATGGGGGTCTGGGAGACAGGTAGGACTCAGGGAGGAGGTGGGGAGGACAAGAAGACATTATAGTTTTGCTCTGGGCTGGCCCCAGTGGCCTCAGCTGGAAGTCCACTGTTATAAAACCTTTGCTGGAAGAAACTCCCCCAACCTAACCCCTTCGTGGTAGCTGGGTGCTGCCCTGGGCTGGGCTATCATGGTCTGTCTGCTCTGAGAGGCTGACTTGAAGCAGGCAGCCTGGTCACCCTGCCAGCCCTCGTCGGGTGACCAGGCTTTTGGGCTGCAGGGGGTGGGCTCCCTGCCAAACCCTTGGCCAGACTGACTCCTGTTTGCCTCTCAAGGCAGCCCAGGTCGCTGGGGGCCCTGGCGGTGGCTCAGCAAGGACCTCTGCCTCCCTTCCCGACCCCCTGCTTCCTCTGAACCCCAGGCTTTGCCCCGCTCCCCACCCCTTCTCCTGCTGGCTTGTCTCCTGGGCCCCAGGCAGCCGTGTCCCATGTCCCGTCCTTGCCTGCAGAACTCGTTCTTGCTGTAAGCCTAGGTGAGCCAAGCACTCACTTCTGTAACCAAATATTTATCCCTCATTAGGGCTTTGTTCCCTTGGCTGTGGAAGCTCTGGGAACCTCTAGGTTGGACAGCTCAACTGTTTCTCTCTCTCTCTTTCTCTCTCTCTCTTTCTTTGGCTTTGTCTGTGTCTTTCCTCTTTTGTCTCTCTCTCCACCTCTCTCTTTTGAGGGCATCCTTTTCCTTCGGTCTCATTCTCTGTCTGCCTCCCATGATGATAAATAGGATATTAAGCCCACCCGTGAGCTGAGCGTTTACAGTAATTCTCAGCTCCATCTCCCAAGCATCAGCTCTGCTCCTTGGCCGATGGCCACTCCCAAGTTACCTCTCCTGAGACAGAGTGGGCTGCCTGCCACTAATCCTCTCACCCTCCAAGCCACTGCAGACCAGTCTCTGGTGATCAACGTGCTCTCGTTTCCAAAAGGAAAGAGAAAGCACTCGGGTCCTCCCCTTGCTGTGACCTCAGCTTGCTGGATGCTCTGAAGGAGGCAGGGCCCGGAACACAGGGCTCAGAGAGAAGGGCCTCGCAGCATGGCCCCATCCACTGCACCAGGAATTGGATGACTTCTCCTGGAAAGGCCTCTGGGGGGGGACTTCTGCCCCAGGGGGATGCCTCTGGATTCCTTCTGCCCTCAGAGAGGAGGCTTGTCAAGAAACCAGCAGGCCCTCAGCCAGTCAGCACGAGTTGAGCAGAGAACATTACAAAGGTTAAAAACCCCATTTTCAAATTCTGTTTGCCATTTCTTCCTGGAACTGAATTTCTAATTTAATTCGGACTTAATTCTGATTCACTTTTGCAGTGAACACCATCTGTTTGCTTGACACTAAACAATGAGGCTCAGCTCGACTTTCTGCTCCTTGGGGGCAGCGTGGCCATGGGGCTGAGGCTGAGGGTTCTGGAGAGAGATGGGTTTTCTCACTGTTCCCCCTCCTCCCCCACTTCCTGTGTTTCTTCTGGAGCTGATACCGGTGCCTACTCTTTAGGACGTTGTGAAGATAGAATGGCATCATCCAGCAACAAAACAGAATTAACGCGACGCCAGGCACATAGAAAGCACTCAGGTGTTAGCTACCTTTTTTCCTCTTTTTTCCTTCCCTCTGTTCCTCCTCTCATCTTCTCCCTTCCCTTCCTCTTCCCTCCCTTTCACCTGACTCCCCGCACCCTGGTGGCGCTCCTTCCGCAGATGCAGATGCAGACCATGAGGTGTGCCTTCTTCCCCAGGCCTGCCGGCTGTCCTCCCTGGCTTCCGAGAGCCGGCACCAGGCGGAGGGGTGCCTTGTAAACTGAGAGCCCCTCCCCGCCTCTTTGCCTGTCACCCCTCTCCCCCTGTGCTGGGCCATGAGGGCCCTCAGGAGGAGGCAGCCAGTGAGGCAGGCCAGGGCCAGGGTGGCAGGAAGAGGGAAATGTCAGTGCTTGCTTCACATCCTCTGGGACTCCTCTGAATAGCAGTTCCCAAGGGGAACTGTGTGAGAAAATGCATGCCGAGGAGAAAGCACTTTATAAACCTGCCAGCGCTGGGAACATGTTAGCACCGCCCCAGGCTGACTCTGCACCAGGCCCTCCGGGCCCAGAGTTTTAACTTCACGGGAGTAGCACGCTCAGAAGCTTCGTGGCTCACTTTTTTTTTTTTTCCCCTCATTTCTCACATTTTTAAAACCATTCTTCAGAAAGGGGTTTTGGACGGTGGCAGCCTTCCTTCTACCTGACGCAGCTGTTTGGGTCTCGGAGCCGCCTGGCCCTCCTCGGAAATATGACTAGGCCCCAAGTTCCTTTTGTTGGTTTTAGAACACAGTTTTTTTTTTCCACAAAAAGTTCTCATGTTCCCCTTTCTCTGGTGCCACAATTCCCATTCATTTCCTGCCCAGAAATTACGCAGTGGTGACCATGAGGCTGCGTGGCGCCCTTCCCTAAGGTGACCAACCTCAGATCCCCACGTGTCAGCGTGAGGCTCCCTGAGGGCTGTGACCTGGCTCCCGGGGACAGGCACCCCCTCAGCTTTTGGGGGGGCACTTGCAGGTCAGAGTCTGAGTTTCCTCATCTCCCCTGGCAGCTGTGGGTCACCGCCCTGCATGCCCACACCCCAACAAGCCTTATTCCCTGCACCTTGGTCTTTCCAAAGGGGCAAATCCAATCTATGTCATCCCAGCCCTCCAGAAGAAGTCCACGTTCTTTAAAGGGGCTAAAGGGCCCCATAGGATCTAGACCTTGCCTCCTCTCCCCTTTCCTTCCCCATTCACCTGGCCAGCTCCTACTTATTCCTCAAGACCCAGCCCAGGCATCCCCATCTCCAGGAAGCCTTCCCTGACTGGACCCCACCCACCCTCCACCCCAGTCTGTTTCTTTATCTGCCTTCCTGCTGGACTGTGAGCAGCGGAAAGCAAGGGAGTCTGTCTTCCTCTCGTTATTTCCACCATGGTGGCACATGACCGCAGTGTCACTGAGCCGAGCCCCACCTTCAGGGACCCCTCCTGTCCTGTGGCCCAGGCTTTTGCAGGAAGCACCTCTTGCAATGGAGGAGAGCCCTGAACTGGCCTCGGGTGTGAAGGCCTGGGCTGAGGGCTCTGAGTGCCGTAGGCCAGTATGTCCCTCCTCAGCCCCGAGGGCCCCGCCACGCCCTCTACTTCCCCTCATTGTGCCTCCCTTCCTGTTTAGCTAGACTGTTAGGCTGGGGACATTTTTCCTCCCTTTGAGGACCTGCCTGAATGGAGCTCCCTCTCCATTGCATCTCCCCTGACATCTCCCAGATGCCCGTCTCTGATCCCCTGGTGGGCTCCAGAATCAACAGACTTGGGTTCAAATCCCAGCTCTCCCCATTTAGCTGTGTGACAAGAGGCAGGGGCCTCACCTCTGTGAACTTGTTTCCTCATCTGTAAAAGAGAACTAATAACACAGCCCTCATGGGACCATGAGGGTGTAATGAGCAAAGGATGTCCGCGCTCCTGGGAAGTAGGAGCTGTGGCTATAACATCCTGGCCTGCTGGTGTGGGGGCTCTGAGAACAGCCCAGCTGGACGCTCACTGGATGCCTGCAAGTCCAAACATCCTGTTCTTTTTTGAACTCCTTGCTGGAGAAACAGGGAAAAGCTGTTCTTTTTTTTCCCTTCTACCCGTATCGGGTAACACAAAAAACACAAGTCCGGCTGGGTTGAGCTGCTTGAGTCTGGTGTTTAGGAGCTAATCCGAGCTGCTGAGCAGGGTGGCAGTTCCTTTCCTGGATTAGGACCGATTCTGTGGGAACCGGACCACCCCTGAGGCAGGGGGGCGGCCCTGATGGCTCCCCGGGGCCTGGGCCTGCCGCGGAGCCCCTTGCTCCCGGGGAAGGGGGGCCCTGGGCTCACGTCCTCCCCACCCTTCCTGCCCCCTTCCCTGCAGGTGAACTTCCGCAGCCCCCGGCGTGGCCAGAGGTGCTGGGCTGCGCGGACCCAGGTGGAGAAGCGGCTGGTGGTGCTGGTGGCATTTCTGGCAGCAGGACTAGTGGCCTGCTTGGCAGCGCTGGGCGTTCAATACCGGACAAGTAGGTGCCTCTGTGTTTTGTCGTGGGCTTGGCTCACTCCTGCCCTCGGCTCTGTCCACCTGGGCCAGAGGGCCTCCCTGCTCAAGCCAGGGCTGGCCTCCAGGGCCAAGGAGAGAGCGAGGTCCGGACGGCTCGGTGCCGAGATGGACTGAAACATGGGAGCTGGACAGTGTGGGTGGTGTAGAGGTTTGGGACATGAGTCCAAACAAACCCTGGCCCAGCAATTTATTGTCTGTGTGACCTCGGGCAAGTCACTTCATCTCCCAGAGCCTCTGTCTTCTCTCCTGTGAATGGGGAAAATGGTGCCCGATTTGGGGCTGGCCCTGAGGATTAGAGATAATGTCTATCACATAGCTGGTGCCTCCTGGGACTTCTTGAATCTTAGCTCTGGGTGCTATTATTGTGAGGAGGTGAGCTGATGAGACTCACAGTCTTGCACCGTCCGCCATCTTTAGTTCCAACAAAATAACAATAATAGCTTCTGTTTACTTAATACTGTCCATGGACCAAATACCACACCTCTTCTTTACAAACATAATCCTGTTTCCTCCTCACAGCAACCCTATGAGGTGTGGTTTTTTGCATCTGAGGAAGCTGAGGCGGTGAGCCTAGGTGACTTGCTCAAGGTTACGTGGCTGGTGCACGAGGGAGGGGGCAGCTGGATTGCAACGCCTTTGTCATTGGGGTGCCCCTGTGTGTTAGAACCTCCAGAGGAGCGGTCCTGCCGTGGCCCAGCTGGCCTCTGGGTGCCTAATCTGTACACGTTGTAGTCACATCTCTGGGTCCAGCCTTGTTTAGCAGTATGACGGGGCCCAGCCAGTCCTGCTGTTGGCGTCTGAGGCTGGCTCTCTGTGTCTGGCTGAGAGTATCCAGCCGAGTACCTCGTGTAGAGTTGATGTTCAGTAAGCACTTGTGGACCTGGAAAGGGCAGAGCCAAGTTAAACAACAAGGATGGGCGGTCTGGCCAATTCCAGGATCTCTCACACCCTTGTGCCCCAACATCTAGCTTTCCGATGGCAGGTGGTCCATCTGGTGGAGCAGCTTCTGGGGCCTTTGCTCAGGGTCCAACCCCACCAACTCGGTCACCTGGTCACTCATCCCATCAGAGAGATTATGACCCTTCCCGTGATCCCAGGCTGCGCCGAGGCTTCCCCACTATAAAGTCGCTGGCCTGCATGGGTGGCCATGCTAGACTCGGAGGGGGAAGGAGTTTGAGGGTCTGGAGAGAGGGCAGGACCTCCCCTCAGTCATCCTTACGTCCGCCTGTGTCAGGCACTCCAGCAGCCAGAGTTGCTCTGAGCCTGCCCCGGGAGCTCCCAGAAACCAGAAGGGAGCCCCCAAGGGCTGGGTCCTAGTGCTCGCGCCCACGGGGGGGTGGGGAAGCACAGGGAGCAGCCTTGCTTCAGCCTCTATCATCCCGGCCCCCTGTGGGCTGCAGAAGAGGTTTCCCCAGCCTGGACCAGGATGAAAGGAACTCTCCCCCTGGGTGACTCTGGGCCGAAGATCTCATGAGCCCTGAGCCAATCCATGTGTCTTCATTGGCAGCCTTGACCCGGGACAGCAGTGGCCACCCCAGAAACTGACAGTAACCTCATGACTGTCAGCAGGTGCTGACATTGGCCACGCCTGAGCAGACATCAGGCTAGTCAAAGCACATTCTCCGATGATTCTAAAAGACCCGTCTCAAAGTCTTGTCTGGGCCCCTAAATACATATTTGTCTACTTTCCCACTGCACCCCCTTTCCAGAGACTTGCAGGCGCTTTACAGACAGCAGCAGTAAAACACACAGATTCTCCCAGAAAATATTCTTAAGTGACTTACTCAGCGTTGGGGCCCACCACCATGCAGACGAGCATCTGTGAGCTAGATTTTGGCTGTTCCTGCTTCTCGACTGGTCATGCACATCCTCAAAGGAAGAAATATTTTCTGCCTCTGCAAGTGGTGCCCAAGTGCTGGACAAAGCTCACTTCATTCACTCACTCATTCAACACACACATACTGGACCGCTGCTAGGTGCCAAGTACATGCTGGGCCAAGGAAATAGAAATGCAAGTAAGGTGCTGGCCCTACCCTCAAGCTCACGTTCCAGTCGGGGAGGGGGACAGGGAGACAGCCACGACACAGCATACTCTGCCCTCAGAGAGCACACAGCCAGGCAGCCAACCGAGGGGCCCAGCGAGGAATGAGGGTCTGGGAAAGTTTCCCCGAGGAGTTGGAGCCTGGGCCGAGTTTTGAAGGTGTTGACCTCCATGTTGATGAGGGGGGCCTGGAAACAAGTAATTGATCAAATATGTGTTAAGTCCCTGCCGGGTCAGGAATAGCTGGTAAAGGATTTACCGAGCACTAAGCGGTTAAACAACCAAGCATTGCTTAAGTACCACCTCGGTGCCTTGCCCTGTACCTAGCAGCTTGGGAGCTTAGTGACCCATCAGGCCTCTCAGGAGGCTGGTTTCTTGTTTTGTTTTTAAATCCCAGTCCCCTTATGATAACCTCAGGAATCAATCAATCCAAATCCCTCCCTGTCTCACGCACACACACGCTGTTTCTGACAGGCCTTGTTCCCTGAAGACAACCCTCTTGCAGTCTATCTCCGGGCATTCCCAACAGCCAAGGTTTGGTCAAGCCCAACTTCCTGCAGTTTGTGGTATAAAAACAATAGGTATTCTTTTCCCTTCCCAAATATGAAGCTCTCTCATAATAGTGAATAGGTTTTTTAAAGCTACACAGAAATCCTCTTCCTCCCACCCTGAAGATTCTGGTACATTTCCCCAGTTGGGGAGTGGGCCGTGCAGCTCGGCTTGAGATGGCCTCCTATGGAGATGCTTAAATGGCACCGGAGCCCTGCCAGTTCCTTTCTGTTTTCGAGCCTGCCAGCTCAGTAATTTGTGACTGTTGTACAGTCCGCTCCAAACAAGTAATCCCCTCAAAGCTACCTTGGTTTTTGTGCTGCCGTGAGACTCCTCTAAGCCCTTCGTCAGCCTGCCAGACGTTGTGCCCGTCATCCGACGTGAAAAAGCCCACAGGCCACCCCAGCCCGGGCTGGTGCCGTGTTCCCCTGCCAGAACTGTGCATCCTTTCCTGCTTTCTGAAGGTTGGCCTGGGGACGTCGGGCCCAGCCACGAAGGCGTCCGCCGTCACTGTGACATCAGGCCTGCTGTGCTTCCTCGCTTCTAGATGGGGAAACCGAGGCTCGGGGAGAGGAGGTCACCTGCCCAAGGCCCACAGCCAGAATCAGAAAACTGGGATCTGAACCCAGGTCTAAGAGCCTCCAGCCCCTGCCCTGCCACACACCTCCCTGTGCGGTAGGGACGCTGAACTTGCCAGAAGGGCCACCCCAGCCCCCGATGGGACCAGCAAGGAGAGGGAGAGGGAAAACAGAGGGAACCCGGCCTTGGAGTAGCTGCAACAGGCCAGAGCTACTTCAGCCTTGGCTCTCCCACTCGGCCGTGTGGCCCGGCTCTGTTCATGCACACAGAGCCTCCATCTCCCCCTCTTTAGCCTGGGCATCACACCTGTATCTGATGTCTGCAGTGAGGCCTGAGTGAGATAACAAATGTGAGTCAAGTCCCTCTTGTTGCCTATGTCAGCCAGGGCCCTGGCTGGGCCTGCGTTCCTAGTCACGAAGCTGGATCTCCCACCACCTTGGGCTGGGCCCCTGTCAAGGCTGTGCAGTTTGGTTCCTTTGCTGGAGCCCACTGACCAACCCCGAGACAGGAGTCCGGCCCCTCTTCTTGCCTCTGGCCTTCCAAGAGCCCTCATCGCCTCTGCCCCATGTCCTGTGAGAACCGGCTCAGAGGAAGTGGATTCATGGGGGGCACTTGTAGTATTTGGCAGCCCTCCCCACTGCCCACCTGCACCGACAACCGGAATCCCTCCTCGGGGAGGCACCTGACAGATGGGGCCGCCCAGGGCCCACCTGTTACCGCTGGGATAGCGCCTCTCCAGGCTCATAGGAGACAGAGTGGAGAGAGGATGGGGCTTGTGCCCCATTGGCCATTGAACAAGCTACTTAGCTTCTCTGTGCCTCAGTTTCCTTGTATATAAAAATGACTTAAGCAAAATGGTCTGTTGAGTTTGTTTCATTTTTATTTCTTTGAGAGTCAGTGAGATAACACTCCTGCCCTGTACTCAGAGGGAATGATCTTTCATAGTTTCTTCTGTTCATTATAGGCTGTCCTTTGCCCTAAGTCCTGGCACCAAATTGTCTGCATCACCCTTTTGTCATGGACTAAATACAGTCAATTTATGTTTGCAGAATGACAGACATTTCTCCTCCGGTTGTTATTTAACTTTTCTTATAAAACGTCTGTCTCTCCAGCTAAATTATTAGCTCTTGAAGGAAAGGACTATGCCTTTTATATCCCTCACCACACACACACACACACACACACACACACACACACACACAATCACCACTCGGTAAAGAACCTGGAAGATACTCAGTTATTATTTTGTTGAATGAATGAATGCATGAACAAGTGAATCAATTTGTTGAGCATCAGGGAATAATAAAAAAAAAACCAGTGAATATTTGTGGAAGGAAGGACTGATTAAGAGAAACACCTTGGTTCTGGGTACTTTTCAAGCCACAGAAAGGACTTGAGGCAGCTAAACAGAAGTCTTACTTTACAAGCCAGGAAATTGTAAATCTACTGAAATCATTTCTCGGTAGAAGTCTAGCGACCATCCAGCTCCAGATCTGTTTGGTCAGGGCTGGGGCAGGGGCATGGCACCCCAGGCCACTCATACTATATTCCCACAGCCTTCTCCCTGCCCTTCACTGGCCTCTTGTCCTTGACCCCTGCCAGGAACCCCCACGGTGTGCCTAAGTGAGGCCTGCATCTCAGTGACCAGCTCCATCTTGAGTTCCATGGACCCCACGGTGGACCCCTGCCAGGACTTCTTCACCTACGCCTGTGGTGGCTGGATCAAAGCCAACCCCGTGCCTGATGGCCACTCACGCTGGGGGACCTTCAGCAACCTCTGGGAACACAACCAAGCCATCATCAAGCACCTCCTTGGTAAGCACCCCGCAGGGAGCCCCGTGAATGAGCCGCAGAGGAGAGCAGCCAGCTGGACCCACCTGCTCAGGTCTGGTGAAAGGAATCGCTTGACAGAATGGGAAAACCAGAGGCTTTGGAGTAGGTGAACCCGTCAGTCATTGTAAGTTACTTGTCTCTGAGCCTCGGTCTCTACAAAAATGGGACTAATACACAGGGAAGCAAGGCACAGCCTAGGTGGTGCGGTCAGTGGTGGTGTAATTGCGTCGTGTGGTGACAGGCGCTCGTGGCACTTGCAGTGAGCAGGGCACAGCGTCTGGGCTTGTGGAAGCACCGTGTGGTACCCCTGAAACTAATATAATGTGCTGTGTCAACTATACGTTAATTTAAAACAAATTTTTTTTCAATGGGACTACGACTACCCAAGCTTGAGAGTTTTGAGAACCGTGAAGCACACGTGTAAAGGGTTCGCACGGTGTGTGTGGCACAGGGAGGTACTAAGCCCTGGTCACTGTGGTCCTTGCTGCTGCGGCTTCAAGCTGTGGCCTGGTTTTGCCCGGCATGGACGGTGAGCTCTGAAAGTTGTGAGCCAAGGGAATCAACGCTGAGCACACTTGATCGGATTTTAGGGTTGTGAGCAGATGAAAGTTATAACAAGTTTATTGGAGGGTTGTCCACCGCAGGCAGGAACATCCCATGGCCTCGCGCTGATTGGACTTGCACGATAAACCGTCTAAGTTAAAGTTCTTCTCTTTGCACCTTGTTAGGCCTTCAGCACCTCTAGTTGACCTTGGTGTTGGTGGTTTTATCCTTAGATTAGAGCCCCATGTCTGTCTTGTTTGCAGGGTTATCCCCGGTTATTGTTTGTTGAATTAACACCTGCCCGTTGGGGTCGTCCACCGCGTGAATTCACAATACCCACCACAACAAATAGAGGTCCTGACTTGAGCCCCTTGGCAGCCAGGACCTTCTCCATCCCTCTCCTGCTGCCCCGACCCCATCCTGGGACCCTAAATGCTGGGAGAGGCTAGATCATGAAAAGCCATCAGTGACAGAACTTAGATTCAAAAAATCCTTATTAAGTTTTTTAAAAACCTGCAAGATACTCAAAAGTACGTAAAATATCTGAAGATACCCCAAAGGGGACAAATCTCAAAGGGACAGAAACCAGAAACCTTCCTACGAGACAGGAAGAGATACCAATTTGACAATTGCAATTTCAGGCAACTGTGTCTTTTAGAGGACAGTGGAAATGAGCAAACCAGGTTAGGCGACCTCTCCTTTCTTTCCGACCCCAGCCCCGGGTCCAGGAGGGGGAGGGGCACGGCTGCTGGGTAAGACCCGTCCACCATTCTCTCTATTCCCTGCAGCCTAGCCTGGGGCTAGTCTCCCTGAGGATCAGAGCTCAAGGGAGGGCTGTCCGGAACAGCAAGGGCACTGCCTGCTTTATGTTATCTAGGCGCCTTTGAAAGGGGACAGAGCCTTTCATTTCAGAACTAGAAGCTTAACAGGCAAATATGTCTGGGGTAGCCAGACTGGAACTCAGGGATGTCCCTTCTCCAGCACCTGAAGACAGCCTTGGCAGGGACCAACAACCAAAGCGGAGGACAGTCCAAGTAGGATGACAAGGGATACCTATGTGGCTCAGTGGGTTAAGCGTCTGCCTTCGGCTTGGGTCACGATCCCAGGGTCCTGGGATCGAGCCCCGCATCGGGCTCCCTGCTCGGCGGGAAGCCTGCTTCTCCCTCTCCTACTCCCCCTGCTTGTGTTCTCTCTGTCAAATAAATAAATAAAATCTTTAAAAAATAAATTAATTAAATTAAGTTTAAAAAAAAGGAATAATGACAAGTAGGATGACAAGATGGGGCAGAGCCTCTCCTTCGGCCACCAGGGACCTGGGTTCACACCCTACCTCCGCCACTTACTGTGTGATCTCAGGTCAACGACATGACCCCTCAGGACTCCTCTCATCAGTGCGTTGGGTACCGGGCCTCCCCCAGGTTATGAGAATAAAATGGGAAAAATGTATTTAAGGTGCGTTGCCTGGGCCTGGCGTATCATGCCGGCCGCTGTGCATTCGAGTGTTATGGCTGTTGCTCACCTTTGACCTTTGTACAGCACTTTACAGTTTACAGAGCTTTTTGTGGCTGTCATCCTATTTGATCCTGTAGGGCAGGAGCAAGGAAGGTATCGTTTGTCCCATTTGAGAGATGAGGACACTGGGGTCCAGAGCCGTTCTGGAGACAGGCTAGCAGGTGGCACAGCTGGGACTTGTCTGACTCTGTCCAGGCCGTGTGTCCTTTCCCCATCTCACACCACCTCCTCGAGATAGATGGGCACGCGTGGCCCCCCTCCCACCCTGCCGGCAGCGTGGTGCCTGGGGATCTGAAGGGAGGAGGGGAAGAGACTGATGTTTGTTGAGTGGGTGCTACTTGCTACTTTCTATCCACTGCCTCCTTGATCCTCACAACCTCCCTGGGACTCAGGAACTATTGTTCGCATGTTATAGCTAAGGAAACAGGCTCAGAGAAGTTAAGGGACTCTGCTGAGGAGACACTACCAGTCCTGAATGGAGGGGGGCTCCAGCCCTGGGGAGCAGTTAGCACCGAGAGGGGGTGGAGAAGACAGGCAGACGGGCCCTCTAACTTTCCAGTTAGGCCCAGGACTGGCCCTTGTGTGTGGTACCTGCGGATCCTGCTCCAACGAGGACCTTGGGTCTTTGCCAGGACTGAGTCCTTCCCCCTGACTTGCCCCCCAGCTGGCCAGCTGGCCAGCTGGCAGGGCCCAGGAGGAGTGGGCTCCAGTCCTGGCCTCTGGCCTTACATCCATCCCGTCCCTGAGGGTCAAGGTGTAGGTGGGAGCTGTGCTGAGCTGTGCGCGGGACAGCCAGAACCATGCATTGGAGCCCCTGCCCCTGGGACCGGGGTCTGGTGGGAGCAGGAGGCCAGACTGCAGGGTTTTGAAGTCAGGCAGCCCTGGCACGCTAGCTTCTCACTCGTGTGGCCTTGGACAAGTAACCTGGCTCCTCTCCAGCTTAGTTCCATTATCTATAAAATGGGGATAATAGTGCCATCAAATGCAAGGTTGCCGTGAGTACCCGCTTGTATGTGCGAGGCCCGTGTGCTTAGCACAGAGCCTGGCACCTAGTAGGGGCTCGGCAAAGCACAGCCACCCTGCTCGGTGTACTGCGTGAGCTCCAGCCCAGCCCTCTCCCTGACAAGCTGTGTGACCGCAGACAGACCACCCAGGCTCCTCAGCTCTTCGTCTCTAAGGTGGGAACTAACTCAGAGCATTGAGTGGGGATGTTCTAAGGATTAGTGAGGTGGTCGAAGAAAGCCTAATTATTGATTATTTCTCATAGAGGCACTGATGTGGACCTAGTTGTCAGGGAAGGAGGTATAGCATATCCATGACCATGCTAGGCTGTTTACTTGTATTATTTTATTGGAGCCGTGGATGTATATCCCCATTGTACAGATAAGACTCACAGGAAGGAAGTGATGAGACTGAGCTGAGATTTAGCCCCAGAGCTATGGGACCTCACACTTACACTCTTTTTCTGCCGACTTCCCTGAGTCAGCTTCACCATGCAGAGGCCACAGAGCGGCCCAGAAGCATGATTCACCAACCTCCTTTCCCCAGGAGCTGCTTGATTAAGCTCTCCAGTTGAGATGGGATCTGACCAGGGCCTGATGAACATAGTAGGTGAGGTCAGCCCCAGGTCATACTGACCAGGAGCTTCCCCAGAAGGCGTATCCTGGAGTCCCCTCCCTGCCAGGCTCACCCTGGGAACTAGTCTGGAAATGGCCCCTCACCTGTGGGCCTTGATACCTGGGACTTTGGCACCTGGAAACCCCTGAAGGGGCAGGAGGCAGGTGAGTGGGTGACAAAAAATGCAGGAACACGGGCCAGTGCATTCCTGGGCTCAAGGCCAGGCTTGTTTCAGCTTCCCCAAAACATAGGAGTCAGCCAGAAGGCCTCGCGGGAGAGGGGGGAGGGCTGGAGCTGGTGGGGGTTGCAGCGTGCCGGGGGCTACCCAGGCTGTCCAAGCTGGCCTGGGGTGGGCTTCTCTGGCAGGAGAAGGAATGTTCAGAGTGCTGGTGAGGACTGTGTGACCAGGCCAGGCAGAACAGCTGTTACCACCAGCCGGCTGCAGGGCCTCAGACGAGCCACTCCTTTCTCTGAAAGGTGAATTCACAGGGGCCCCCTCAGGGGAAATCCAGACGGATCTGTCGCTGGCGGATTGAACTCTGCCAAGTGCCACTGTGGCCCATCCCTGCAGCCCAGTGGCTGGGAGACGCGACCTCAGCTGCACGAGCAGAGCTGCCTCACCCAGGTTGCTGGCTTGGGCCTCGGGGGCCTTGGGGAGACAAGAGTGTGGCCTCACTTCATCAGGGCAAGGATGCAGTTGCACCTCTCATCCCTAGGCTGGGCCTCCCCTCAGGCTTTCCAGCTCGTGCTCTTAACACAGACTAATCTGCCATCTAGACTACCTGCCTCACCCCCTTCCTATCCTGCAGGACTCTTCTCAAACCTGCTTCCTCTGTGATGCCCTCTGGGGCCACCAAAGGGCTTCTCTGGGCTCGAGCTACAGTTGCATTTTATGTGTCCGTCCTGTGTACTATGTTTTCTTTCCTTTTTTTTTTTAAAAAAAAAAGATTATTTATTTGAGAGAGAGAGTACAAGCAGGGGGAGTGGCAGGCGGAGGGAGAAGGAGAAGCAGGCTCCCCGCTGAGCAGGGAGCCTGACGTGGGGCTCAATCCCAGGACCCCGGGATCGTGACCTGAGCCGAAGGCAGA